CTTCTTTCCTCTAGTTTCTGCTAGAATCGGTCTTTTCTGCAGAGACCCTCTGTCTGGCCGTGTTATTCGTCCGCCATCTTGCTCCGCCCCCCCCCCCACAGTTCCTTTTTTAATCTTGCTCTGTCCGTCTGCACATAGCAGTGTCCTGCTGTCTCCCACACACATCGCCATGTGATTATTGCATTACTCCCTGGTTGCAATAGAAAAATGAAGAACCTATTCTAGTTACATGGATTATCTTAGGGCATTTTTTAATGAAGTCATTCTCACTATTTTAACATTTATTACAGAAGGTAAGGGGACAAAGCCTGCAGAGATGAAGAGTCTCTGTGGAGAAGCAAGTCTGAAGTTTCTGGAATTGTGCGGACAGTACGAGTGTGTGTCTGTTCTGAGTCCATTATGATGCAGGTTCTTTCCTTGAAGGGTAGAGAAAACGATAGAAGAGATTTCAATATGGGCCATTGTTTTATGCCTGCGGGGAGGCCTATCACCCTCAAAATGCAAACTTGAATATCAGGATTTTTAAAAATCACATCTATGAAGTAATGAGGTATTGGATGGTCCTTCTTATTTATTTATTTTTTATTTTTTTTAATTTATTTTTACTTTAACGTATTATGGGGGTACAAGTGCAAGGTTATTTATATTGCCCATGCCCCCCTCCCTCCTCGAGTAAGAGCTTCAAGCATGTCCATCCCCTGAACATTGCACATCTTACTCGTTGTGGTTGTATGTACCCCTCCCCTCCTCCCCTCTCCCACCCTCCCGACACCCTATAAATGTTACTCCTATATGTCCACTTAGGTGTTGATCCGTTAATACCAATTTGCTGGTGAGTACATGTAGTGCTGGTTTTTCCATTCTTGAGATACTTCACTTAGTAGAATGGGTTCCAGCTTTATCCAGGAGTATACAAGAGGTGCTATATCACCATTGTTTCTTAAAGCTGAGTAGTACTCCATGGTATACATATACCATATTTTATTAATTCACTCATGAATTGATGGGCACTTGGGTTGTTTCCATAGCTTTGCAATTGTGAATTGTGCTGCTATAAACATTCGAGTGCAGGTGTCTTTTTCATAAAGTGACTTTTGATCTTTTGGATAGATGCCCAGTAGTGGAATTGCTGGATCAAATGGTAGATCTACTTGTATCGCTTTGAGGTATCTCCATATTGCTTTCCACAGAGGTTGAATTTGGATGGTCTTTCTTGATTAAAAAAAAAGAAAGAAAAAGTCACGCATAATCAATGAAATGGAGAATCAAGATCTCTCTCTCATGGTTCAAGTCAGTGCTGAGGTCTTTGTTCTCACCCAGCTCTTCATTTCTGTGTCCTTGATTCCTCAAGGGACACAGAAATGTGTTCTGCCAGCCTGCCCTTCCCCAAGTTTATATTCCACATTGTCTTAGTCCTTTCAGGCTGTTATAACAAAATGCTGCAAATTTGGTGGCTTATAAACACTAGAGGTTTATTTCTCGCGGTTCTGGAGGCTGGAAAGTCCAAGACTAAGCCTCCAGCAGATTCTGTGTCTCATGAGGACGTGCGTCCTGGTTCACAGATGGTGTCTTCTGGCCATGTCCTCACATGGTGGAAGAGGCAAAGCAGCTCTGTGAGGCCTTTCCCCTCATGACCCAATCAAGTCCCCAAGACCCAACCTCCTCATACCATTGCCTTGGGGGTTAGGATTTCAACATATGAATTTGAGACTACAGCCCACATCTTTTCCATTCCCCATTTTCTCCCTCCCTATTTTATCAAAACTTAGTATTGCTTTGCCCCTCCAACCCCCAGCTCTCTGCCGAGTATGCTGGGTGGATATTGGGAATAGCTCATATCACTTTGTGTTAATGTGGTGCTCATTACTCGGACTGTCTTTTCCAAAGTGATAGCTGTCACTAGAGGAAATTGTGCAGCCCTAAAAGAAATATTCTACTCATTGGTATTGCCTGAGAATTTATTCCTATCAACTTGACAGTCTGGGAGGGTCAGATTGTGTATCAGGACAAAACAGGGTAAATCAGAATCTAAGTAGATATGATATTGAGAATCCTTTTCTAGCACGGCAAGTTTCATTCTAAAGGATCTTAGATTACGAATACATATATTCTTTAGGAACAGCTGTGTATTGACTCGCTACCCTGTGCTGGATGGCAGGGGCACAAAGGTGAATAGGCTGCTGTCTTCCTTAAAGGAGCTTCATGGTGACATGCACCGTGCACTGAAACATATCAGCCCCCCTAAGTTATTAGTAGGAGGTCTGTCCTGAATGTATTCAACCATTGTTAATATAACGAGAATGGTTTGCACAACATCAATGCAGCCTGGCAACCAAGGAGAGTGCACTGTCATGTGCATGTGTGAACAGTGACAACCTCACCATACTAGTCAGTAGGGCACTAGACACTGTTGAGTGAGCATGTGTACTGTGTGGCTGTCACATTCAACATGACTGAGTGAGAACAACAGATCTGCATCAAATTTTATGTTAAACCTGAACATTCTTCTGCAGAAACGATTTGGATGATTCACATAGCTTTTGGGGACGATGCAATGAGTGTGCAAATAAAGTGTGACACAAAGTCTAACACTTCAGAGATGGTCAAGAATCTGTTGAAAGTGATCCACATTGTGGAAGGCCTGCAACAAGCAGAACGCCTGAGAATGTTGAATGTGCACGGGTTAGGTTGAGAGATGCTGGGAGAACTGTGTGAGGTCCCAGGGTGCCTACTCTGAAGGAGACTGATGTATCATTGTCCTGTGTACCATGTTTCTTGTATCTCGTATCTTCCCCAGTAAAGGTCTCTATTTTTTATATTGCGTGGCTAGATACTTTCAGGACAGACCTTGTATGTGTACATGTCATGAGGAGCATATAGAGGAAGCAGGAGTCACTCACATCTGTGAAACTGATGTGGTGTTGGGTGGGGAAGTCAGACCATGGTGTGCTGGAACCAGCTGTCATGATTGTTCATGACAGCCAGTTGTGAGCCTCTGATTTTAATAGCTTGAAATCAGCCATGGTGGGAATATTTACACCACAGAAATTGGTAAGCACCACAGATCAGGATGTTTTGTTTCCAGAGATTCGGGTGTTAAACATTTACCAGCATACCACCAAAGTCAGTGTAGTGCTTTCCTCCTCTGACTTTGATTTTGACTGCTAATTCATTTTAGAACAAACCATTCAGCATCTCTTTAGCATTTTGAGTGCCCAGAAAAATCTCATATCCTTTTAGGGAAGCTGTGAGAAGCAAACAAGTATACAAAAGGAAGAGTTTGAGGCTCCCTAGAAGAAAAGATTTATTTTCTTTATTCTTTGACCCCCACAAATACTTAGAGTGGTTCCATGACTTTTTCTGGTCCTGCAGGAGTCAGTAGCAGATCTCAGCAAGAAGAGTCCTCTCTTTCATTTATTATGTTTCATATGATCCTTTTATTCAAGGAAAATAAAACTCTGTAATATATAAGTACAATTTAAAAAGCTTCCTGTTTGTTATGATTGGATGATATATTTTCACAAAATATTAATTTTTCCAAGGCATTGTGTGGGCTTTACAAAAAGCAGACATGGGAGGACAAGGAGTTCAGAAGTTTATGTCCAATATTTATTTTTGAGCTGTTTCTGCACTAAGCTTTGTTTGAGTTATTTTTCTTCTTTCAACAAATGATTACTGAGCATCTTCTGTGGTGATTTGGGGGCAAAAAATCAATAAGATAACAATTCCTAGGGCTAAGGTAGAATGTGGTAAAGTTCCAGGGTCCAGTGCATATTTACTGAATGAATGGGCACAGTAGTGAGGAATTGCATGGCGGGCTGGCAACCAAGCTATTTCAAGGCGAAATGTAAACAGAAAGATATTTACAAAGAGAATTTGCATAGAATTAATCCAGAGTTTTCTAGCAGGCAGTGACCTTCTTCCCTTCCACCTGTGCCCTATAGAAAGGAGAAATAAATAATTGGAAGGCTGGAATGAGACCAAGAGATCGTTAAGGGCTCCTTTTGGCTCAAGGCTAGAAGCTGTGCTGAAACCTTCCAAGAATAAGTGCTACCTGCCCCATTAATTGAAGTTCCCAGAGAAGAAGATTCCGTGAGCTTTTTCACTAATGTCTTACAGACTCTGACTGCTCTTACTGGCAAGAAATTCCTCAGATTTAACTACATCCTTCTGGTTCTCATTCTATCTTGACTCACCTCTTCAGTTGCATGTGGTCTTCATTTCATTCAATCATTCATTTCTTCTTCAGTCACTTATGACGCGCTTACTGCATGCTGAGTCGGTGGTTCTCAACCTTGCAGAGCATTTAAAAAAATACTGACAGCTGGGCCCTAATTCCTTGAAACCGATGGGACACAGCTGGGCTGGCTCCAAGGGTCTGTGTAATGACAATGGTGATGAAGACAATGATATAAAATAGTTGTAGCAGTAGTGATAGCCACAGAAAACACTTATTAGGTACCATGCACTGTTCTGTTTTGCATGAATCACCTCATTTATTCTAACGGCAACCCTATGATGTGGGTGATTTTATCATCGTCATCAAAGATGAGGAAACTGCAACGTGGGGAGATTAAGTAACTTGTCCAAGGACCATATCTGGGATTTAACATTTTCAGTCCATTTCCTAACCACTGTTAGATTGCCTCTATCTTGCTGTAAAGTTTTCCAGAAAGTTCTAATGTATTTCTGAAGTTGAAAACCATTGACCAAAGTGATAGTACTTGGCATATCTTGGCATATAGTACTTGGCTGTCCAGAACTATTTGTTCCTTTCATTTCATTCCTGTATTTCACTGTCTAGCAGTGGGGACCGATATATTAAGTATACATTCATGTACTCACGCACGCACACACACCACACCATGCACAACATGGTGAATCTTGCACAAAGTACTAGGAGGGATAGTGTGAGTGTAGGGAGGTGGGGGAGAGTAAGTCTTCCCAGGGTATTGGAAGAAAGGTTAGAAAGGACGAGGTGTAATTTGGCTTTAAAATCAAAAGTCTATTCACAAATCCTCAATTAAATTCAAACTCCTGGGGACCTTGCTCTCATGTGAGAGTATTCCCCATTGGCCTGTGTGGGACAGTGGCTGTATTCCTGGGCTTCTGGGAAGGGGTGAGCCTGAGGCTGGATTAGACTGGGCCACACTCCAACTGGTCTTATGCAAACCTTTCCCTAACCCTGCCCAAGACATTCCTAATCTCTCTGTGGCCCTCTTCACTGGGGCCACTGGTTGTAGAAGTGACTCTGAAATAAAGAATCCAGGGCTGTCTATGTTATTTATCCCCAAGCCTGTTTTCTTTGTTCTATCCAGTGATAATAGTAAGATGAAGAAGAGTAGAAATTAATGTAGTAAGGAGATAAGGTCTGATATCATTCTCATCTTTATAACCCCGGAACCTAGCAGATAATACCTGGCATGTAGCAGGCACACAGCGAATGTTTGCTGGAGAAATGAATAAATGAGAAAGGAAACCATGTCACTTCCATATAAACATTTCCAATTCTCCTGAATGGTGATGATGATGATTGTGAGGGTGGTTGTGGTTATCTGTGTGTACCTGGATAGTCATTATCTCATTTGATTTTCTCAATATCTTCTGAGATCAGATGGGCAAGTAACATCGTCATCTTTACCTCTATTTATAAGTAAGGACTTTGAGTTTCAATAAGCTTAAGGATCTTGCCTAACACCACTTGATAGCCTGCCAAAATTTCAGTCTCGGGTTGAGCCTTTCCAAACTCTGTGCCTTCTCTCTGATTGTGGGAGGCATTGCCGATTTCCAACAACAGAATAAGATTCTGCGTCAGAGAACCATGAGAATGTGCATCTTCTTTTCCCTCTGAGATGAAAATTGTCTACATAATCTCTTTATCTTGAGGTATCTCTTATCTCATGTGTTTTATGTGCTTGGTAATATACATCTACCCATGAGATACCAGTGGCACCCCCACCAGTCACGACAACTAACAATGTCTCCAGACATTGTCAATTGTACCTTAGGGAGCAAGATCATCTCTTGTTGAGATCCACTGCTCAAAAGATTTTGCCCAAAAAGTAAATTTTCGAATAATTGAGTTTTGGTGGTAATTATTTTCATTTCTTTCTTTTTTTTTTTTTTTTTTAATGGAAACACTGAGCTACACGGCTACAAAAGTCTGGTAAGGATTACAAAACAAGGGATTAGGAGTCAAAAGACAAAGCCAGTCAAATGTAATCACCACAGTCACATGACTCACACTCATGGTAAAATAATTCTATTTTCTTTATTACATTGAACTTTGGATTTCTGTCCGCTTACTTTTCTCAGAAGGCTGATTACATTGTTGTTTGTTTATGTGTGTGTGTGTGTGTGTGTGTGTGTGTGTGTATAATGCATATATATTAGCTTTCTCCCTTCAAGAGGATTTTAAACTCTCTCCCTCCTGCCTACTTAAAATCAAAATTAGCTGAATAAGTTAATTAAAAACAAATTAAAGTTAGAAAACTTTAGTCTCTGAGTCACGAGCAACGTTTATTTTCTACTCGACAGATGAACATTGAAATCCAGGAAAAGTATGGAATTAAAGCCCAATAAAATGTTATATAAACTCTTAAGTCACGTTGACTTCAGTGGTGAGACCACGCCAAGAAAGTTCACGGATCAGCTCCAGGGATGCGGACCCAGGGATTTAGCCACCTCTGAGCATTTCTAAGCAAAAACACATGTCTGCAAAATGAGCCCTTGCAAACCAAAGACAGAAGGATTGAGCTGCCAAGTGTATCTCAGGCCTTTTCCACGCATTCAACTTTCATATTTAAGGGCAGCCTTGGTCTTTATACGCTTGAAGGAAGTACAGCAGAACCTTGACACACTTAAGACTGCATTTTTCTTTGGAGAACATTTGCCAGGTGGCGCTCCTGTTTATGTCTCAAAGAGGACCCCATCTTCACAATCAGACTCATTTGGTGGGTCTCTCGGTAAAGAAACTATTTTATGTGTTTATTTGTTTGTTTCGTGTTTAAGAATTGACCTGGCATCTGTTATTAAAAGACAACCCAATATATTGGAAAGGTCAATGACTTTGACTTTCACTCTCCACCTCCCCAGTTTCCTGGTTGTGTAACCCTGGGCAAACTACTTAATGCTACTGAGCCCCACTGCTCTCCTCTGCAAATGGAGCTAAAGATACGACTACTTAGGGAGATTGGGAGACTACAAGGAGATGGGGAGTAGAAAACACCCAGGGCAGTGCCTGCTACATCAGTAGATGCTTAGGAAGTCTTTATTTCTGCCCCCTTTTCTAGACACCAAGGTCCCAATCAGACAACCCAGTGGGTCACATGTCACCTGCATATGTGATTTTCCTGCAAAATGGTTTCAAACATTCTGAATCAATTGCAAATATTTAAAAATCAGGAGGTTTCAGGTAAAAGAAAAATCGAAGTTTCAGGCTTTGGGGAAAAAAAAACAGATCTAGCAACACTGGGTCCCTATACATGGGCATGTTCACTCCAATTCTCCAATCTCCATCACTTCCTGGTGACTACAGCTGGCCTGCTTTACTCATTTATGTTACCCACCTGATGTGTTTAAGAACTTCAAGATTTTAGCCACAAGGCACATAAACAATTACAGAGACTCTGGTTTATGGGAGGCCTCAAGGATGCAGAGACCTACCAGTATAGCCCTGCTTTCAAGGAATCCCTTAGTAGGGGATTAATGTAAGTGATGATTTCAATTTAGCAGGAATTTATTGAATTCTTACTGTAGACTTGGTACTGAGGCTACAAAACTTAATAAGATACAGTCCCGCCCAAGAAGAATCTGGCCTGCTGACCCCTTCCATCCTATTGATTGGATTGGAGTTTCTGTATTTCTGTTTTCAACCCAGGCTGAGACTCTTAATATCATTAACTTTTTATACGCTGCTTATGACATCATCTAGTTGAGCCCTAGTTTTTATTTTGTTTTGTTTTGTTTCTAATATCCTATGTCATAAAACCATGACAGTGATTTAGCTGTAGATAAATTTAGTCTTCCTAAAATTTGGAAAGAGAGAAAACACAAACAGAAACCATGTTCCCTTTAATTTTCTATAGAGAGAAGCTTTTTAAAATACGTGGCTTTTCAACTTCTAGCCCAGGGTCTGGGAAATAGTGGGGACCAAGTAATATCTGTTCACTGAAATAAATGGGTGAATGGATAAATACTGGCTGAAATTCAAATGTCTAATGCATTTCACCTTCCCCCCACATCCTTTCATCCATTCAGTCAACATATACATTTGGAACTGGTGAAAGAGTCTTCCAGACACGGGAGACAGCAAGTCCAAAGGCTCTGTGGTAGGAATGAGCTTGAAATATCTCAAGAAACAGAAGGAAGGCCAGGGTGGTTGGGGGGAGAGAGTGAAAAAAGTGACTAGAGATGACAACAGTGGCCAGATTTTGCAGGGCCCTGGAGGCCTCGTGGCAAGCTTTGTGTATTTTTAGAGTTTGGAGAGAATGAGATCTGATTTCCAGTTTTAGAAGATCATGCTGGCTGCTGCATAGAGAACGGATTACAAAGAGGCAAGAGTGCATCCCTGAGACCAGTTAGGTGGCAGCTGTCACAGAGCAGGTGAGAGGTGATGGGTAATGACCACAGGGTATTAGTGGCTGTGGGGCAGGTTCAGGACGGGTATTGAAGATTGTACGCCTACTGGCACCGTGACACTGTCCGACAGATATATAACGCCAACCACATGTATAATGTTAAATTTTCTAGTAACCACATTCCAGAAACCACATTTTCTAGTAGCAACATTTTTGTGTTAAGTGTTGAGAAGAAACGTCTTTTCAAATTTACTATGTGTATTTGCTGAAAATATCTCTTTATGTTGTCTGCTTTATTACCTTTACACTTTTTTTTACGCGATAAACGTCTTCATTTTGTTCTGCTGCAGGAAATTGCAATTGACATTCTTCCTGAAACTTGTGACATTCCTTTCTCTAATCTTTTCTCTTAGCTCCCCCAGTTACAGATCTGGCACGTGTTGTGTTTCTCCCCTCGACTCTGCACCAGTACTGTCATTTTGAATTTTAAAAATCTGTCTATACTTATTTGTTTTAACTAGAAACTGAGCTAATCATTTACAATTAAAACAATTATTTCCGTTTAATTACCAATTATGATTTACATAGATATCTCTAGAACTTGTGGTGTCTGCATAAAACGTTCAAGTACAACGTTATAAGGTACAAACAAAAGGAATCATTCAAAATGAATCACTCTGTCGACAGGGGCTGAGCACACATTGCCACGATGTGTTCCCGTGTAATGGCACAAAGGGTTCACCCAACACACTCCCTGCAGGGTGACAGTAACATCTTCCGTGCTGTAATAGTTAAATGGAAATGTCATCCTACCAACACCATTAAGTTATGTTTGGGGGAAAAGTATTTTGAGCTGCTTCAGTTTTTAAATTTAACTTCCCATGAGTTAAAATAGACTAAAATTTTAAAATTCAGTTTCCCAGTAACACTAGCCACATTTGGAGCATTCGGTAGCCATATGTGGCTGGCGGCTGGCTGCCTTGTTGGACGGCACAGCTCCAGTGAAACTCCACGCAGAGCTGCTCTGCAGTCGCCTCTCCTGGCTCCGTCCTCACTGGCCAGGGGTTGGACGACAGAAGTCCTGACTACTACTCTTGTCACAACTCCCTGCTCTTTCATCCTGCAGTGCTTAAAACTGAAATATCAGGGCTCGCTTGTGGCATTCAGGTAATAAATAGGGGAAGGCAACATGAAACCAAATCCTTAGAAACCAGATTATATTTTTATAATGTTTCCTTACATTTTATTAAGAGAAGAAAACATTTTCATTAAGAGAAGGAAATAATCCATTTGACATAGAAAAATGGACTCATTCACACACACACACACACACACATATTATTATTTTTTGTTGTTGTTACTTGTTAAGTTTTGAATATGTATGTCCATCAACCTAGCAATACTGAGTGCACCCAGCCTGGCTACTGGCCATGGTGGCCAGTGTCCACATTTTGTCACTGGGGAGTCACTGTCACAAGTTGGCTTCATGTGTTCATTTTTGTTAAATGCCAATTTGGGGGCTGTTTGACAACTGTTGTACTCCCTCAAATGGATAATGCCAATAAATGCCATCAATTTTCAGTAGTTTATAACACTTTCTGAAGTCTGTTGAGCAAATGGCATGCATCTCAAAACTTATGTGACCAAGGAATGAGGGTTATTGATGTGTGTGTGTGTGATGGGTGGAATCGTTGCCGGCTGCCCTCTCACCCCTGTCTCCTCCCACCCACTGCTGCACTCACCTACATCATGAGCATTTCTGTTCACCAGAAGCACCCCCCTGCCTCAACTCTGATCACCTGGTGGGTCTCCAGACCTGCCATCTATGTGCCTTGTCTTTGGGTAGCGCTTTGAAGCAAGAACAGACCCCTTCATGTCTGTGAAAATCTGGATTTCAAGAAAGATCAACCTTGACCTCCCGCTGCTGATGGAAGACCCTCTTGGCCCCTCCGTCCCCCATGGCTAGCGTCACAAATATTAATGCCGCACTTCCACTTGCTGGGCTCAGAATGGCCTCTTTTAATTAAAATATGGATCTATTTTTTCAAATACATTTTCACATTTCTGCATGGGGAGAAGTGCTTCTTCCTGCCGAGTGCAATTTCAGATTGGGCAAAATAGGTGCAGATTTCACTTGGATCTCTTTGAAGTTTCAGAACATCCTTAAAACCTAGGATGATTTTTTTTCCCCTGCTTTTATATTGTCAATGGTTTCCTGGACATTAGGGAAGAGCTTTCATGTATTCACATCTTTAGGATTCTGAAACATTATTGGATAAATATTAAAGAGAACCAAATTGAATGAAAGTTAAAGTGAACCAAATAGGCCCTAAATAAAATTTTAAAAGCAACCCTTAAAATATATTTTTATTAACCAAGACTTTTGAGGAAGTTACAGACTTAATGTGAATCTCATACCAATAAATCAAGGGTTTCTTATGGGGGGAAATACCCTTCCATTATATATAAAAATGTGTCCACATGGAAACAAAGCTCTAAATTCATCTTTTAAGATAGCTAGGGACAGATAGCAGGAAAGAAACTTTCTTTGGCTAAGAAACTTTCTTTCCCTAACATTCTGAATAGATCATGGCTTCCTCTGGGCTCCACAACACATTGTTGGACCTCCTTTTTGGCAGACTTTATTGGCATTTATATCACATCTTATCTTGTTTTTTTCTTACACATACCTGCTTCTCCCACTAGATTATTAAACTCCATGAGGACGGAGCTGATGTTGGGTGTTGCTATCTCCTAGTGGCCTCTCCAATGTGCATCCAGACTCTTTACTATTTTGTCCCCTGACTCACTCTAAATTTCTCATGATTTGGCTGGGGTAGTGCAGCTTGCAATGACCTGTTCTGCAAAAAATAGACAAAACAGGGATTTGAAGAGAGGGAATCATGTTGGTGATCAATTTTCTTGTTTTCACAAATATACAGAGTCTGAAGGTGCCTGGGTGACTGTCCTTTCTCCTGTCCACAATGTCCTTATATCGGCCAAGGTTCTCACGCTCAAATATTTGCACGGAATTTTAATGCAAGTTCTTTGCACTAATATTTGGACCTTGGGCATGTAACTTGCTTATAGACTTTTAGGCTTGCTATCTATGATTACTTTAGAATCATCAACCCTTTGGGATGCCATCATCCCAAACAGAGTGGTGACCCGGTTCCATGGTTACCAGAATTTTCACTATAAGGTTTAAGGAAGGACTCTGAATTCTATCTCTTCCTATCAAATTAGTTACTCTAATAAAGTAAACCTTAGATAGAATCACCTCTGGGCTTCATGATAACAGTGACTGGATCTGGGAAGGAACAGTGTGGGCATATTTCAGGGACTCCTGAATCATGGCCAGCCCAGCTATGCTACAAAGATGTCTTGTTCCTGCCGTGACTTGGCCACTGGAATAAGCCCAAGGCCACTGAGGAAGGCACTCTTATTTCCACTTGACTTTATAATTTGATTTCGCTTGTTTTCTCTACTGAATTTGCACTGTGTCTGCAAAGTCTACAAAGTCTGTTTCCTCTGAATGTCTTTCTTTTCTGTTCCTGAACTGCCGGGCTGGATTCTCCCCTACTTTAAGCGCTTTGGAGGAGAATGGGGTTCGATCCTTGTGAAGATGCTGATATTTCCAAGACAGACAAGGACTTCCAGATGACCCCTTTTATGTGGAGACATTAACCCTTTACTTTTGCCATTTTTACATTCTCAGAGCTTTGTTTACAGAATATAATCCCCACCTGTTGTTTTGTTGTCGTCGTCATCGTCGTTGTTTTTAAATCACCACACCCCAGTTGTCAGCACAGTGTTGCTGCCTGTCAAACTCAGTTCGCCCGCTGAGCCCCCGTGCGTGCCTGGTGGGGTGTGCGGTTGGTGGCGGGGAGAATGGGCTCTCAGTGGCAATGAACAGAAACCGAAAAGTGAAAAAGAGGGTGCGAGTCAGGCAAGGTGACAAATGCGACTTAGTTTCCTCAAGTGAGGGCAGCTGGGGGGCCAGGCGGTTGTAATGGGCGGCAGGCCCTGCCCCCGCCCGCTCAGGCTGTGTCTCACAGGCACTCACTACCGTTAACTTCAAGCACATTTTCACACTGTTTGGCTCAAGCTCCTGGCAGCGTTCCTAAACACTCTGAGGAAATAATTCCACAAAGTGGCATAAATTAATGTGACTAATTAACATGATGTTAATTATTTGTAAATTGTATGTTTGGATACACATTACTTGAGAGGCATATGTTATTTTCAATGTTTACTGAAACAAGTGACTGCTAATAGCTCCTCCTGAGTGTTCCCTTCACGACAGTCTGCAAATGGAGGCTTCTCTAAAAATAAAAATCCTATCCTCGGGGAGCTGCATGAATGACTGAATATAATCAGCTGCCACAGAGTAGCCCCATTGCCTTAAAAAGTGGGAGTTACTGAGGCTTCCCGCTTCACACCTGGCGTATTTGGGAGATGGCTTCATTAAAGCCGTCTCTTCTTTCTCAAATCCCACAGACGGGCAGGGGTGAGGCTCCTTTGTGGTACCCGACAGCCAGCTGGGAGGATGGCAGCATTGCGGCCTCTCCTTCCAGAGCCGTGTCTGTGCAGGCCGGCCCCAACCTTCCCCCCCCCCACACATGGGGTGGCTGAGGTCCGTCAGGACCCAGGTGGGCTAAGTATCTATCAGTCTGACCGCCATCAATTCAGAATTGGCCGGGACTTCTCGCTTAGCAATTATGCATTGTCTTTAGACTCAAACTTGACATTCTCATTCTTGGTCCTGAAATAAACCAATCTGTTTAAGCAGCTTTTACGTTCTGAAGAGTGTGCTGTATTTTGTTTCTTCGAGATTCTTCAGTTTCATATGCTTTGGGTGTGTATTACTAACATGCAGATAAATTACTCTTTTTACTTTAACATAATGAGTGAGATGTGCACCATCTGGGGGACGGTCATGCTGGAAACTCAGACTTGTAGGGGGCGGGAAGGGGGGAAAGGGCATTTATTGAAACCTTAAAATCTGTACCCCCATAATATGCTGAAATTAAAAAAAAGAGAAAAATAAATAAATAAATAATAAAAAGGGAAGTACAGCTTTTACAGCATTCCTGGGGTAGAGCAGCTAACGAAGAGGTTTCTAGAGTAACATGTGTCCTAATGACACCTTTTTGTCTATGGCATGCCACCTCCTATGTGAATAAAAGCATGTGTTTTGCTATATTCTTTGGTCAGGACTGAGTGACCAAGTCCATTGGGGAAACATATTCATCCCATCTTTAGAGAGAAAAAGAGAGAGAGAGAGATCAAGGTCATGGTTAGACCCAGTCATGGGAAAGCCAGGGAAGACCATATCCTTATTCTAAATACCATTATTTGGGGTAAATAGCTCTAGCTTTCAGTTTTTATTATCCGACTAAACATTACAAAAAGAAAACGAAGGACAGGATGAAAATCACCCCAGGGTCCATGAGATGCAACTGAGGGAGTGAGGCAGCTCTGTCTGGGTGTTCCTGTCTTAACTTCAGGAACAGATGTAGCCCTCCTCTAGACAATTATTTGCAAGGGGAATATTGACTAGAATTTGTTTCCTGGAGGGGCATGTGAAAATATTTATGAAAATTCTAAGTCATTTCCATTTATTCATGGGTTCTATTGACTTAGTCAAAGCAAAGAATAATGTTTAAAATATGCACCTGAGTAATCTGGACTTTGGAGTTGCAACAAAGACTTCATGAAGTTGATAATTATCTCTGTTGCTGCCATGTCTGACACTAACCTTCCCTTACCCATTGGGACCACCATGCACAGGGTGGACACTAAGGAGTGAGTGAATGAATAATTCCAGGCAGGTAATTAAAAAGAAAGTGTGTGAGTACATGTTTTTCCATTCTTGATCAACACCTAAGTGGACATGTAGGAATAACATTTATTGGGTGTTGGGAGGGTGGGAGGGGGGAGGAGGGGATGGGTGTATACAACCACAACGAGTAAGATCTCTGAGGTAATTTGATAGCATGGCATTAATCAGTACTTTAATTTTTAGTATTTTATGCTAGTCTCTAAGCTCTGGTAATGATAATCATAATAATAAATTAATATTGATTCAGTGTTTTCTATATGCCAGGCACCGTTCTAAGCCTTTTGTCCACATGCGCAGTAGGCACAATTATTGGCATGCTCATTTTAGAAATAAGGAAACTGAGGCACAGAAGTGAAGACCTGGTGAGTGGTTGAGCTGGGATCCAGGCAGTCTGGATCTACAACAGCCCCCATGATCCCTGGTCAGTCTTAATGCACATGTAATGAAGAAAGGTTAAAATAATGCATCCTGTAGACTCACGTACCCTACTCAAATGTAGAAGGTATGTCACAATTTTGCTTTGTGTAAGAAAATCTGTTAAACACTTTGACTCTCTCTCTCTGTGTCATATATACCAACATGTCTGTGTGTTTAGAAAGCTAGGGAAAGTGAAAAGTTTACAATATAGTAGAGGCATTAGAATTTGATCATATATTTTACAGGGAATATATGGGGCAAACATGCACTCATTGTTAGGAATGGAAACATTTTTTTCCCAGTGTAAACCTAGCTAGACTTACACTCCTTCCCTCAGCTTACCAAATATTGTAGTTACCTCTCAACAGAAAAGAATTCTGGGTAACATCCCTACCAGGGTTATGCCAAGAGAAGAGATACAAAGAAATGAAGTTTTAAGCTCAGACTTGGCTTCTTGTCACTGTCTAGTTAACATAGAATTAATATTTTCCTTTACTACATAAAAAAGTAGTTTTCTAAGGGATCATACATTTTTAAACAAGTGACTGTCTATGATTTCTGACTCTTTTAAAAAAAATTCAAATTATTGGCTTCTGCTGCCATTTTTAAACTCTGCCCTGCTTTGTACTTACTTAGAACATTCACATTTCAGAACCCTTCATCTGTGAATTAATCATGTGTGGAGTATATGCAGTTGGAATTTAACTATAAATATAAGTGAAATTACTCCAGCCATGGCTGGGTTCAAAAAAAAAAGAAGAAGAAAAAGAAAACTAGAGTGATTTGGAGTTTTCAGTTAAAAAAAAATAGAGAAATTTTAAGGAAGAAAAAAAGGAGTTAAGTTGAGGAGAGCAATTAAATATAATAGAGTATTTTTGCATTAAAATATCGAGCTTGTGTTGTATATCTGCTTTATTCCTAAGACTCTGCAAATCAGCTTATAGCTCTACTGTCAAGGGGAAAAGAATTGAATAGTGTTTACCAGACTTCAGAGTATCTTTCTCACTTGACCTGCAGAAAATGTGAAAGGAAGCTGTGGAGATTGGTCATTGTGAGGGATGAGTCATAGAGTCAACATGATGGGTTATAGAGTTACTTCCTGGTTGGTGCCAGGTGGCAAGAAGGTTCTCCAAGCCAGATAGCTGAGAAGATGAGACAGGGAGGGACAGAGATGAATGGATGAACGGACAGTGGCTGCCTGGCCAAGGACACACACCTTGGACAATGTTTTTCTCCCAGAATAGTCTCCCAATAGGCATAAATGGCTAGAAAAACACTTTCATCTACTTCAGTTTCTCATCAGATCTGTTTGACAGTGTCTTCACTTATGAAGATGGAGTACAAAGGAGCTGGAATTTGAGGTTGGAGCTCAGAGCTAAAGTCCTGGTTGTAACAATTACTAGCTATGGAAGTCCAGCAGGCTGCCCAGCCCTCTCTGAGACCCAACTTCTTTGTGTATAAAATGAGAACATCTGCCTTTGAAGCCAGCAGTGGAGAGCAATTGAGATCAGCTCCTTCTATTACGGACATATATTGATCGCCTGCTATGTGCCATGATGCTATGTGAAGTGTTAAGGACGCAAGAAACTGTTGCTTCTCTCAATGAATTCTTCTTCTACTAGAGAAGATAGACTAGTGAACAATGATGAGAATAGAGTGTGAGAAATAAAACAATAGAAATATGTTCAGAGTATAGAGTTTACATAAGGGAAAGCTGAATAAGCCTGTAAATTATATTAACTCTGGCCACAAATACACCAAACATTAGGGAAATGTATTCTCTCTCCCCAAGGAGAGCCTGCGACTCAGACAAGGTCTCACAGAGAGGACCTGAGTATGGCCTTGGTATTTCAGTAAGAACCCACCCAGATGCTGTTGGAAAGAGCCAGTGGGACGGGAAAGACACAGAGACAGAATGAAATGGCTGGTGTTGCTGAGCCAAAGCAGAGGGCAAGATTTGGGGGAACATGATTGGGGACCCGGAGCAAGGGAGAAGTAGGGGCAGATTTGGTGCAGGCCCCAGAGGCAGGAAAACCTGGAGCCTGGGACCCACTACCCTGCAAAGGTGATCACTCACTAGGGACTGCATGCTAGTATCATGTGCTCTTTATCATGCACACAGTCAATAATAATTTTTCTTTTTCTCTCTTACATAACAGCTTCATTGAGATATAATCCACATACTGTACAGTACACACTTCAACAGTGTTTGCTGTATTCGTTGAGCTGCACAGCCATCACCACAATCAGTTTTAGAACATTCTCATCACCTAAAAAGAAACTCTATACTCATTAGCAGTCACTTCCCCTACTGTCTTTCCCCAGCTCCTGGCAACCACTGATCTGCTTTCTAGTTCTATAGATTTGCCTATTTTGGACATTTTGTATAAATGAAATCATACTATGTGTGGTCTTTTGTGACCAGTTCTTTTCACTTAGCATAATGTCATCAAGGTTCATCCACGTTGTAGTATATACCAGTATTTCATTCCTTTATATGACTAGAAGGTTCATCCACATTGTAGTATATGCCAATATTTCATTCCTTTATATGACCAGAAGGTTTATCCACATTGTAGTATATGCCAGTATTTCATTCCTTTATATGACCAGATGGCCTTGGTATGGGTGTGGCACATTTTATTTACCCACTCCTCAATTGATAGATATATGGGTTGTTTCCATTTGGGGGCTATGATGAATAATGCTGCTATGACCAATAATGTACAAGTTTCCATGTGGACATATATTTCCATTTCTCCTGTGTATATGTCTAGTGGCGGTATTGTTGGATCCTGTGGTGACTCTGTCTTTAACATTTTGAGGAACTGTCAGACTGTTTTCCAAAGTGACTGTACCCTTTTCTCCTTTTCTCTTAATACCTGATGTATTGACCATTTGTAACTACGTGAACTTCGTGGAGGACAACCAGAGAAAGGAGTCACAACCCAATTCAGTTGTTTTGATGGTCCCAGAGAGAGGTTACCTATCACTATGGTAACGCTGCATAACAAACCCCACACCCTGATGGCTTACAATGACGAACACTTATTTCTTGCTCTTAGTCTGCAAGTCAGCTGTAGCTGGGCTCTGCTAGTATTGGTAGGGGTTGATTCCAGGCTGTGGGTCAGATTCACTCAGGGACCAGTGGCTGCCCAGGCCATATTCTTATTGTGGCAGATGTACATGACACCTTGTCAAACCACTAACATTCCTCTGGTGAAAGCACGTCACTCAGCTAAGCCTGAAGTCAGTGGTGTGGAAAAGTCTGCCCTACCTATTTTTCTAAAAAGTTTTGCAATGTCACGTGGCAAAGTATGTTTCTATAATCCTATTAAAAGGATGGAGTAAAGAGTGGTGAAGAAGGATCTACCATTCTACAGTTAATGTGGAGTTTACAGTACTCTAAAAGTGAGTTGTTCTAAATCAAGATGGTAAGCAGGGAAATAGACAAAAATAGAGATAGGGAAGAGAGATTTCCAAATTTTAGGATATGTTTTTTTAAAAAAACAAAAATATGAGAAAGCCATAGTAACTTAGAAGTCATTCTTTGTAGATGTGCTTTAATGGAATGATGAAGGCATTTGTAAATGGCCTATTGATTTTACACATTCCATTTCAATGCTTAAGGTGTCCTCAAATACTTGACCACTTCATAGAATGGCAAAATTTGAGGGTAGAAAGAGCCCTTAAGGGATGTCTCATCCTATCCACAGACTCAATAGAAAGGGATAAAAGAGGTCCCAGCTCCAGAGTGAATGCTTTCCATTTTCTGAGGCCACTTGGTCCTCTGCAAGCCACACTGGCTGGCTCTCATACTAATTACTTACATTCTATTACAAACAAGAACATTGAGACTTAGGAAGATGAAGGCCAATGTCACAGTGACTGAGTGGCAGATCTGAGATTTAAACTCTGACCAAAGGCTCATGTGATCAACCATAATCCTGGATGTTTCTAATAGAAAAATACTTGTTTCTGTTGATTTTGAATCTGCCCGTCTTAATCTGAATCTATGTCCTGTTACTCACTCTTCTTAAAATTTTTTTTGTGTTTAAGAATATACAACATTCCTCTTTCAGTCTTGCTTATACTTTGAATCTACCTAACTGATCACTTCTCTTTTCATCACAATTATAATAAAAGGAAAACTTTGTCACTGTGTGAATTAGCTCAGGATCTGAATTGGTAGAATCTGAATCACTGGGGCTTAATCTATTGCCTGAAAGATATTGTTGTAGCTATCAGTGGGCTTGGTTGTCTATATTTCTCCCTTTTGCCACGGCCTAGATGAAGCACATGTGATATGGAAAGCAAGAGGTAGTTTTGTTTTGCTTCAACATTAGTAAAAATTTTTCTTTTCCCAAATTAAGTGTTTGTGCTCATGTCCTTGTATCAGGTAGGCCACTGAGAGCAAATGAGATTACCTAAAGTTACCTGGAATGTAACAGAGTGATGATGAGAGTGAAAGAGGGAAAGAATAGAGGTGCCTGAAAGGTTAATTGGCCTGAATACCTGATACAGGAGATGAACATAAAAGAATTGGTTTAACAGGAGAGGATAATGGGCGCTAAAATATGGAATTGTGAAAGAGGGAAGCCTTATCAAAAAGTATAAGACAAAAAAGCTGGTTCATGTGAAATACCTAATGATTAGGTTGGTAGTAAAAAAAAAAAAAAATGGGCCTCCTATCCTTACTGGGTATAGGAGCTAATGGCATTAGATCTGCCCTTTCTTAAGAAAACACCTGGAGCTTGGAATGAAACATTGAAGCACAGGTACCATCACTGCGTCTCTACACTAGCTGGGATTCTGTATTCAAAAAAATTCTGTCAAAATCAGAATTTGCCAAAATGGCGGTGACACATCCCGCATGTGCTCTCTCAGCCTTTCTAGGTACAAACAGAGCTTATTCAAACGTACTTAATGGCGTTCCAAAGGGATGTGTTTCTCCGTTAGACCGTAGACAGCTGCGCCATCAGAGTGCTCATAAACTGTGTGTGAGCAATTGACAAGTTGACAAAACATTGACAAAAAACAATTACTCAAGAAGCAGCACTTGGAACAGTTGTTTGTTGTTTAGGAGACACCAAAGAAACAGAGGAAGCATGTTGAAGTGCTATTTTTGCCACTGCACAAAAATATTATTTTTCGGATTGCATTTCGAGACTGTAAGAAAAAAGTCAGTAAATGAAATGATACACTGAGTTTATTCCATACATTTTATTCATGAGATGAACTTAATTACTGGGCAGCTTTATTATTTTCTTTAAAGATCACTAATTACTCTCTACCAAAGACCAAAATGTAGTTGTTTTAAGATGTCTCTATGGCAAATACTTTAAATAGACAAAATACTTTGAAGTGCTTAAAATACAAACTGCATTTTGTTAGCTTGAAATATTTACTATCTTTTAAGGCATGATCTGCATAGTCTATTTATTTTGAGACTAATTTGCCTTTTTGGTTTGTAAAATGCAAAGGAATCAGGGTTTCAGTACCATTTAACAAAAATAATAATGATGATGTTGACAATAATAGCAAATAGCATTTAGGTCTTACTTTTGTGCCAATTCGCCAGGCTAACTGTGTTACTTGCATTGTCTTAATGACTTCTTGATTCTTCTCTATGAGAAAGGAGCTATTATCAACTCTTTGTAATAGATAAGGAGTCTGAACCTTGGGACAGATATATTACTTTTCCAAGATCATACAGCTAGTAACTAGTGGAATTAAGGTTTGAACATAGGTATGTCATGCCCTGGGCACTACAGTTAGCACATATGGAACCTCCATGGGAATTAGGAAAAAGTGCCCCTTCCTCAAGATACTTTTATCTCCATCTGTTGAAAAATCATTGTAATAAACTGATTGTGTAGACCAAGACAGCTTACTGCCATCTACCGGGAAATTGTTGTACTAAATACAGGTACAAACATGATGAGAAAGGTGTTCTCTTAGTGGTGGCTCTGCCAGGCACCATACCTGAAAGTCCAGGTACCTAAGCAATCTTCTGGTCCAAGCAGGAGAATACTCTCATTTCCTAAGAAAAATAAAGAAAAGAAAGTTTCCTTGCTGCCCCTCCAGTTTCCTTTTTTACTCACACTTAAGCCTGAATGAAACATGAAATGCTACATTGATTTTGACATGAGCTATCTTTTGTTTGTCCAACATCTATTCACTGACCATCTACAGAGGGTTTGTGCTCACCCATAGAGATGTAGCAAGTAGTCAGAGAGAATGTCTGCTTGCCAGGAGCTCATGGTCTAAGGGGGGCAATAATTAAGCAAATAATTATGAGAAAGGTTCATGGGCTTCCTTGCAAGAGCCACCTCCAAGTGATTGATCATGACCACCAGGAAGAGAGCTATTGACATTGGGGAGGAACCAAACCCTAGATCTAGGTCCTTGGAAAAGAAGCTCCAGGAGATTATTATTAGTTCAGTAATAATGTTATTGTATGCCTTTATGGGTTTTGTTGTTGTTGTTATCATTAGATTTTCTTTTATTTTTTTTATTTTCAATTTATCTCCTTCTGGTATTTTATCACCTTGTCTCTGAACTCTTAGTTTACTAAATTCATGTTTTTATCAAGTTCTGTAACATAGATCTTTTATGGGGTATTTTCCTGTTTTTTCATTTATTTTTTTCTTACAGGTGGGTTTTTGTGCTTTTGCTTGCTGTGTCTTTTTCCCTTCTTTTCTTAATTATTTTTCCTCTGGTCTAGTCTCATAGTTACTGTGTAGTTTATCGTCAATCGTCATCTTAATCATGCCAGAAGGCTCAGGCCTTCTAGCTGGCTGACACTATAGGCATGACCTCACCCCCTCCCATATAATCTAGGACTGCTGTGACTTTCTCTTCAAGCAGTTCCCTTTTCCAAGGCACTGTGCTTTCTAGGAGATGAGCCTAGATTTGGAAGTCATGCTGTGTTGCAACTCTCCCGCCCACTTCAGAATTGTCTATTTCTTTCCTTGGCCACCAGTTATTAATTTTTCCCTTTTATTTTTTGGTTGACACATGATCATTGTACATACTATGGATACTTAATTGTTGTTAATTTTTGTTAAGATGTCCCCCTTCACTTCTTTGGTTACTCTTAGTAAGGGTTTCTTGATTCCATTTCCTTTACCTTTATTTTGTTAATGTCATTTCACATGAAGCCAAGCCCCCTGGCCCCTGACTCCATGCCTCCTTCTGCCTTGTTTTATACCAGACGGTGTATATTTTGCTCCTAAACTACCTGCTTTCCCAAACGCAGTTACCATGCCCCTGAGCTCTCATACTTTAAACTTCACCTTTTCTTTCTTTCTCATTGAATATGTTGTTTGTCCTACACAGGCTCATTTCCTCCTCCTTTCATAGAAATTAAAACGTAAGCCCTTTATTCAAAATACCTTCTGAAATAGAGTCTGCTGCTCCTAAAATGGCCTTTCTGTTTCTCTGAAATTACTGTCCACTCATCAGAGAAACACTGTCTAACTCCACCCCTCCTTCACCCGGTCAAACCCAGATTCGAAATATTCCCATCTATTTCCATCTCCTCAGCTTTATTTTTCTCTTCCTTATAGTTTTCAACTTCCCACTGTCATTTGGAACTGGTGTTCTCTTTGTGTTACATGTGTAATCCTGGAGCAGAACACACACACACACACACACACACACACACACACACACACACACACACACACACATTTTAACTGCCCAGTATCGAGGACTAAAGCAGGGCTGTCTCTGCCAGGGGAAGAGTGACGTGATAATTTGCGTCCCTGCATCATGGAGACAAGGACTCTGAGCCCAAAGTGAAAATTGACCCAACCTAAATGAAAACAAAATTGTTGTCTAGAAGTCATTCTTGAATTCGAACTGAAAATGGCAATATTTCCTAATGAAGACCAGTTCTCATATTAGATAGAAGATATCAGATAAACAGTTCACTAACACCCCTCTAGCATAGAATCTGCTCTTTCCAGAGGAAAAACTGGAGCACAACTACCTGGGTTTGATCCTATATCTGTCAATTACCGGCTATAAGACCTGGGCCAAGTTACTATCCATCATCCGTTAGCCATTTAGAGAGTTTCTGTTATTACACTTCCCAGACCATATTACAGCTCTTTATTTACCTGTATCTTTCACCCCTACACTATTAGTGCATCCTTTTGTTCATTTTGAAAAAAAAAATATTTTTGCACACCCACAAAGTAGGATACTTGCCCTTATCCCTTGTAGAATATAAGGGTTTTAAGACATTAGACAGACGATCACATAGATAATATGTTCCAACTGACACAAGTAGTACAAAGGAGAAGTCCAGGGTGCTTCAAAACTTTCTAAAATAGAGTGACACAGAGTAGGTGTTTAACAAATAATTAATGAATGGATGGATGGGAAGACAGATGGATGGATGAAAATGTGGGAATTAACCAACTCCAACAGAGTGAGAATATTATGAAGTCATTTGGAAACAGATGGACAACGTATGCTGTTTGTCGTCCTTGTCTTCTGCAGGGGTTTTGCACATCTGTGAGCACCATGAAGGCACAGCCGAATCCGCCCCATGGCATCTGGGTCTCCTGCCTTTAGGGCAGTGCTAGTCCCTGGTCACACATTTGTTGAAGGAATGAATTTAATACAAAATAGAGGCTACATTTCAATATTTGAAAAATAATTCCTTTGATTCCAGCATCTTCTATATTCGTTTTCTTTCATCGTAATTATTATTCTTGTCTCATTAAAAGATCTGTTTTTGTTAGTGTTGTATTTAGCATGTTACGCCTATCTTTAGGTTTTATTTCATAGCGCTCTCTGAAGCCAAGTCATGCCCATGCCAATTTTCTACAGACCCAATTAGCACAATTAGCTTTTTAACCTTTAAATTATTTCACCTGACAACAGAAATGCAGAAACCATTTTTTTTCTCTCCCAGACAACATTAGAAACACTTTGCCTAGAGTTAATTTTATACATAGTTAGTCAGGGGGAGAAATGTGAAACCAAGTAAGGATTATAATTCTTAGTTAGTTTATTTTGCTCCTTTGGGAGACTTTATCAAAACTCTTGAATATTGGCGTGAAACTTCATTCTAAAGTTGAAGGATCCAAGTCTGAATTTACTGTTTTGTTTTTTTTTTTTTCTTGCATCCTGAGGAAATAGGACATTTAAACAGCAACTTACAAATTCCAAATGGAAGTTGCATCTCTGCGCTCCCACAAACCCATGTGTTTGTTTCTATCACAGAGCACATTGCTCTTGTCTTATCTTAGCAATCTGTTCTCCTGCCCTGTGGAGTACCAGGTGATAAACTCGCATGCAGGAAGACTGAGATGTCTACCTTTGTGCTCTAGCACCCAGCACAGGGCCTGGCAGATAGAAGTAATTCACCGGATACAAGTTTGCCAAATGAATGGATAAATGAAAGAAGATGTAGACTTAAAAAGTGCAGTATGGAAAAGGCTGACAAAACACAGAAGCAATAAAAGTTAATTTGAAAATGAAGGAAAGGGTCAACACTTTGGACCCCATTAAGGTGTGCCATCTCCTTTTCATTTAGGAGGTTCGTTAGGTTTTGCTTAAAATATTAGTTCCTCCTTTCCCAGGGATTCCCTGCTCTCTGGGCAAGTCTGAGCTGGATTTGGCTGGGTTGGGCAAAGTGACTTCCTGTGCTCTGCTCTTGCATTCCTACAACAAACGCTTCCAGAGTGCTTTCTTCTCCAGGCCACCTTGTGCTGCTGCGCAGAGAATGCTCATTTGTAAGGAACATGTGTCAGCTACAGCACCTGGGGTGGTTGCCATACCCCATACCCATTGCACAGGTGAAGAATATGAAGCCAAGAGATGCTAGGTGAAAAAATGTCACTCTCTTTGCATTGTATAATGGATTTTCTGCAATGCCATCCTCTTTTAGGTACATTTCCTAGTAGAATTTATAGTTTCCTCCTTTGCACGCCCATGACTTCTGTCAGGCAGCCCTTTCTCTCAGTCAGTGGTTTATGTAACTGTCCCTCCCTCTGGATCAAAAACTCCGGATGACGCATCTGCAATTGCAGAGCTCTTCTCATGTGCCAGGGACTGTCCTAAGCACTTTACATATACTTTACATGTCCTTCATTTGTAAAGTGCTACTAAGCACTTTACATATGCTTCATTTAATCCTTATAACCCTTTAATCCCATCAGGTACTTGCTGGGATTTTTTTATATGCATTCTTAAAAATAAGATAGTGAAGCTCAGACTGGTGACATCACTTGCCTATGCTGTCCAGCAGGTCAGTGGCAGAGCCAGGATTTGAAGCCTGGCTCCTGGTTCCAGAAGATGTGCTTTGTTCAACTTTTCATCTCAAACATCTGGTATGATTACTTTTTAGTGAACTCTCTGTAGAAGAATGGAAGAAGAAATCTCCACAGTGAAGATATAGAAGAACAATTCATTGTTCATTGTCATTCTGTTTTCTCTGCCACCTCATTCCCATTTTTCTTTCTACAGCCTATTCTGACATCTCCTATCTTAATCAAGTCTCCCCATTACACTCACAGAACATTTGGGGCTTCTTTTGGTAGCTTTTATCACAGTTTATTATTATACATTTATTCATGTGACATCCGCTTATTGTCAAGTAGGTTTTAAACACCAAGAGGACAGATGGGGACCATTGGTTGACCATGTAACCAGCCCTGCACCTGGCTCAGTGCAGGCACTCCATAAATATTTGTGGAATTAATGAATAAGGTATCATTGACTTTAAAGAGTGGCCACATCATATAATTTAAGCACCTACCTAATTGCTTACATGAGTAACAGCTTTCTTTCAACCACTCCTTAGACAAAAAGCCACTTTATAAAGAGAGGGGATGATGGAAAAAAATATCAGCCTTGGCAAGGATTTCCAGAGAGCAGAAAAATCTTTCTAACAGAGAATTGAGATTCCTTAAATAGAGAAAAATAACCCAGGTTTGGGGACTGAAACCTCATTCCTTTAGACTCCACAAAAGTAGAATTTGTGAATATTTTATCTGGGCTGGGCTGGCCTGAAGAAAGTGTTTCCAAAGACAGTGATTTACAAGACAGTAGGAGCTTTCGTTTTTTCTCGAGCAAAATGATTTTGAGGAATTTCGTCACCTAAATCGTTTGTGATCAGATGAGAGTCTCTGATTTCAATTAAAGCAGATCCAACTGGACTCCTATCTGGAATTTTGTTGTTGTTGTTGTTATCAGGGAGTACAAATTGCAAAGGAGAATTTAATACAACACAGATAGTGCTTTTTAAAATCTTAGGGCAATTATATTGCTTTCCCTTCTAAATGGCTTCTCAGTTCTTCTTTTTGCAAATCCTATTTGAACTGCTTTGATGCTCATGTGCTTTGGAGCCTTTTGTTCTTCTTGTTTTTGCTGGCAGATAAATTATAAATTTAAAAACACGTGTCATCTCTTGAATTGGTTTCGGCTTCTCACCAATTCAAACTGCCCCTCTTGTCCTGCACCTCCACACTCCCCTAGTCCAATGTAAGAGGATTTACTGTAATAAAATGATTCCTATTATTAACCTCAAAGAATAAAGATGCAAGGTTGAAAACAAAATACGTAAATATAAGCTGTCATAAAGCCTGAAGGCTCTTCAGGTAAATTACAGAATCTTACTGTCTAGGGATCGGCTTATCTCCTAAACAGCCTGAGCACCATCAGCACCACAATGCATTTAATCTACTCGATAGACTGGCATCAAGATGCGATGCCTCGTGCCTACTGCCTGTTAAATGTGATCTCTTTGGTGTTCCGTTTCCTTTTTCTTTGGTCTGGTGAGTTTTGGAGAAGAGGAGGAAGTACATGCTGGCTTCTTTACATTTGTGAGGCATTTCTCGTGGACCCAGGCAGACAGATATCTCAGTTCTGCCACTGATGTAGGAGTTGAGTTTTAAGCAGACCACTTCAGCCCTCTAAGCCTTTATGATCTCCTCTGTGAAATGGGAATAACATAATCATGGCTTTCAGGATTTGACCCTCAATGTAATTCAATTGGGGCTTTAGTAACTTGTGTTGGTATTTAATACGGTATATGCCTTCATATAAAATGATCCTAAACCCTACAAAGATTCCAGATGGCTAACCACCTATATGATCGTGCTTCTCCCAGTTTCTAGGGACTGCTTTTTAATGAGAGCCTCCACTTGTCTAGAACATACCCAAGAAACTGGGACAGAAGAAATGAAGATCAAAGCCTCCAAAGGAGAAATGACAAATCCCACACGACAAAGCTCTTGTATTTCACCCGTACTAGAGCCCATGAGCCCTGACTTGGAACCACATTTACTCTTTTTGCATGTTTCTAAAAGGCGTGAGTACCTGGTTTGCTAACTGATGGGAGATTAGAGATAGCAAATAAAAGAGAGTGGGGTTGCTACCTATGGCAAACCTGCACAAAAAGAGGCAGGTGACAGTGTAACAAAGAGGGAGGCACAGAGTCTATTTCTTTCCTCTCCTCCTCCCCTAATACAAGAATCCAAAAGCACAAACTCTATGATGATTTAATATAGGTGCAAACATCCTCAACACACCTTTTGGTAGCCTTGATGGGCATGACCACTGTATAGCACAAACCAAGGGCAGCAAATACATGGTGCACATCCCATCACCTCCTCCACCTGTCTCTAAACCAGAGATCAATCTTGATACTCTTTTAGTTGATGCTAATACAAGATATTCTCGTCTTGGCTTGAGAATCCTTCTTAGCATGGTGCTCAGGCACTGACGCTCAATCCTTTGAACTTAATTCATAAGCTGAAATCCATTTACTATCTTGGCGTAAATGACAACTGCTTAATAAGACAGCCATGTGGATGACCACATTTAAGAGAGGCTTTCTTTAATGGTGGGGGACAAAAAAAATATATATGACTTGCTGGAGGATAAGTTATGTTTTGTCAGACAAGAAAGTTGAGAAAAATCTTTCCCCAAAATTACTTTTCTCGTTCTAAAATCACTAGGAAGATGGAACATAGCAAATTGATCTTATGCAAACTCACTCTCAATGTGGGGTAAAAGCAGTAATTTCAGGCCAAGGTCCTCGTTAGGATGCAAAGGGATGGGGAGCCATCCCTGGAAAGGTTCTAAGTCAAATGGCACTGCCCCATGTTGTGGGGATCCTATTGGGAGCATAAGATGAAGGAATGTCATTTTCCGAGGCCTTCCTGGAATTCGCGAAATTCTTACAAAACAACATTTTGATGAATTGAGTCAGAGGAATTCAAACCGTATGTTTCTGATTCGCACAGAGTTTAAAAGGATTTAGAAGTTAAAGGAAGAGGTGCTAGGCACAAGGTGTCATCCAATTTCACTAACCCCAAACTCTTTGAAACAAAGCCTCGTTTTCCTTTCCTTGTGTTGAACCCCAGAGCTAGAGGACTTTCTGGCCCAGTTGTGAGCCTTTTGAATTGGGCACAAGGGGATCAGGATGGATTTCTTTAACAGTGCATACACAGTGAAAGGGGGCAGAATTCAATTCCTAAATGCCTTGTGCATGTTCATCTGACTCCAGCAGCTTGCTGTGGGTAGGGTCTGTGGCCAGTCCTCGTGAGTCAGTTTATCTCTCTCCTGGGTGCAATGTGTGCTTAGTCACCAAGAGGGCCCCAGCACCATGTCTTTTTGCATAGCCACATTTCAAGGCAAAGCCTTCAGTCTTCTCAACGGGGGTCCTTTGCCTCCCATTCTCTCCCCTCACATATATGTATTCATTCAAAAATATTTTTGACCAACCTACAGTGGGCACTGGGGATCCAGGCCCTCTCAGTTATTGGGGAAGAAAGACATGTCTACAGACAATTATGATATAGTGTGAGACAGGTTAGATGAGAGAACATATTTGGCATTATGAAGGACACAGGGAGCTCCTCTGACCCATTCTGGAGTACTACGGTGGGGGCAGCTCATTAGATGTCAGTTCAAATTTCCTGGAAGAAATGACCTGTGAACTGGGTTTTGAAGGATGTAGAGGAGTTCACCAAAAAAAAAATAATAATAATTGCAGGAAGAAAAGGGAGAGATTAGAGGAGATAGCAGTCCTGGTAGAAGTTGAAACAGGAGTAAGGTGCATAGGCCCAGGGAAACTTGGGATGCTTGGTGGTATGGTTAGGTAAGCAAAGCAGGTCAGATGATGGCGCACCTCCAATGCACCACACTGGAGCAATGCAATGGAGATGTCTGGGTTTCAGGTGGCCGGTGGGACCCATCATATGAAGAGCTCCCAAAGGCTTAGACCTGACATGGGACTTGGATGTGGGTCCAGGGTGTAGGGTGAGAACTCTGAGAAAGGACCTAGGGGTGCCTTGAAAACCAGCACTTCTCAGACCTAACTGCATCCAGCCACTGCCCCACTTCCTCCTTAGGCCCTGCAGATGGACTGCCTACTCCCCTTCCCGCTGCCTAAGCATACTGCCCAATCAGACCTGCCCCGCCCAAGCCAGTGGACATAGGACCAGACTCACACATTTCTCTGCACCCAGGCTGTGCTCTGCCCCTGAGGGAAACAGGGCACAGTCCTCTTTTTAAAAGAACACAGAGTTGTCATGGTTCCAACTGGGTCCCTCTCATCAGGCTGCCCCACAGGAATAGCACCCAGGGCACCCTTGAATGTTCTAGACCAATTAAAGATGCAAAGACACCCCCAATTATTTTGAAGGTTACCTCTGCCTTGGTTCTATTTAGCGTCATTACCATCTTTGAAATTGCCTGGGATTTTCACAAAAACTTTACCAATTAACAAGGGAGTGCAAATGGAAAATGAAAGAGAAAACCCAGCTGAGTAACAGAGCAAGCTTCTGGTACCACCATAACCAGGGCTATTCCTAGGCTTCCTAGGCCTATCCTAGTCAAGACCTGCTGTTATGAAGACATAGCAACAACCACAGCCATGGCTAGCCCACGTATGAGTTAAAGGGTGCTCCTTCTGGGTGGACGTAGGCTATTTCAGCCCATTCTTACCCCTTACTGCTGGGTACCTTCGTGCAGTGCCCAAACTGCACAACTGTATGTGATACCTTGGCTACAATCTAGCCCAAAAGGGCTGCTAAAATACTCATTGGCTTTTCAAATCTTGACCTGTGTGCTCCTGGAATCTTCCTCCTTGAAGGCCAGCAGTGGTGGAGAGTGCAAAAGTTGTCCCTTGGAATTTCCTAACTAACTTTCTTACACTATCTCTCTTCTCTCCTTCCCAGCCCTCAGCTTTGGTGCATCATGCCCCATTGCAAACCATCATTGGTATGAGGTCAGAAGAACAAACTTAGGTTGGGAGATCCAGAATATTGTAAAGACAGAGTGTCCCAAAGGGCAACGTGGCATGTAGAAAAGAGCCCAATGCCTGGGCTACGAAGTCAACCAAACTGGGTTGGTGTATTAGGTAAATATTTCTACATAAATACCTAGTTTATAGAGCAAACATTTCTTATCTTACAGTGTCTGTCCAGAAGTGTCTTTGCTGGATGCTTCTGGATCAGTGTCTCTCATAAAGCTGGAATCAAGGTGTCAGCTGGGGCTGCATTCATCTCAAGACTCAAATGGTGGGATCTGCTGCCAGGCTTGGTCCCATGACTTAGGTCCTTGCTATCTGTGAACAGGAAACATCAGTTTCACAATGCAGCTCACAAAATAGCAACTGGCTTCCCCCAGGGGGAGCAAATGAGACAAGGTATGGATGATGGAGGCCATTGTCTTTTTGTAACCTAATCTTGTAATATCCCATCACTTCTGTCACATCCTTTTTTTTTTTTTTTTTTTTGAGACTGGGTGTCTCTTTGTTGTCCATCATTATAGCTCACAGCAATCTCAAACTTCTGGGCTCAAGCAATTCTCCTCCTTAGCTTCCTGAGTAGCTAGGACTACAGGTACGCACTCCCACTCCCGGCTAACTTTTTCTATTTTTAGTAGAGACTGGGTCTCACTCCTGCTCAGGCTGGCCTCAAACTCCTGACTTCAAGCAATCCTCCTGCCTTGGCCTCCCAGAGTGCTAGGATAACAGGTGTGAGCCACCACACCCAGCCCACATTCTATTTTGTTTCTAGAAGCAAGTCTAGCTCACACTCCAGAAGGGGGATTACACAAGGATGTGGAACAGCAAGAGGCCACGATCACTGGGGCCAGCTTAGAGGCTGCCTACCTCACCAGGAATCCCAACTCTTGCTCACTTAGTGTCTGTATGAACTTGGGTGAATAATATCATCTTTCTGAGTCTTGGTTTTTCCACCTGTAAAATGGAGATAGTTAATGCAAAAGACCTGACACATAGATAGCATCCGAGAATAATGATGATGAGATGATGATGAGTGTTAGTTTTCCTTTCCTTCTTTCCAGAAGGTCCCTGTGTGCACCAGCAGAGTAGCCATTTGTATAGAAGAGTGGACTGGGCGAATCTAATGCTTTTGACATTCACAACCCATTTTCTACTGAGCTGGAGAAGAACAGAAGCACACCACTCCCAGTAGCACGGGCCATGCCAGCGACAGTCCCACACATTTCTAGTACCTTTGATGATGACTTACTTTCTAGTTGCTTTAAGGACATGAAGTACTGAATGGAAAGTGGAATTATGGTGGGGTAAGGATGAAAATGAAGGGAATAGTTGTTTAGTCTCTGACCTTCCAATGTGACTCACAGAGTGTGTCTCACTACCAAGAAACCCTGACTATGAACATGCACCCATCAGGAAGGAGGCATTGAGAGTGGGCACGTCATAAGCCTTCCCAACAGGAATCTGTTAAATAGAAGCAGCAGCCTTTAATATAGCTAAGGTGCTGCTATCCCGTGTTCTGTCTCCTTGCAGTTTCTGGAGAATCCTTTGTCTCTAGTCCAGGTTTCCCATCATGCACCTATTTCCTGCAGCGTTTCTTCTAGGCATTGGGGTCCTCTCACGGTAAAGATTGGGAGAGGTCTTCTGCTGATGCTCACATTTGTCAAATACGAGGTTAAGTGACCTCCACTGAGAGTCCCTCTGATGAGGACAGTACATGCTACCACATCTACTCAATAGCTACTGGACATAGGGACCATTAGATTCCCATTTCATAGAAGAGGAAGCTGAGGCACCACAAGGTTAAACGATTTGCCCAAGGTCACACAGCTAATACATGAAAAGATGTTTGTGATGATTTGCAAGAAAATGAAGCTTTGCCAGAGAGTTGACAGCTGTAAATGAGAGCAGGTTGTGCTTGCCTGATTTTTCCCCGAGAACCTGGCTAGATTTCAAGTCTATGGGATTGGAGGATATAGCTAGCAAGACTTGGGAATCAGATCTTTTCAATGTTGTCAACATATGCTGGTCATTCAAGACCAATTTCAAACTTTCGGTGTTATAAAGACACGTATCCCGTGGCAGTACTTTTTATTTTTTTTTGACATCTGACATCATACCACTGCAAAACAGAAAAAGAATAAGATAAGGGCAAATGAAAAACCAGGGGCTGGAGTTGGTGATGAAGGGGGCATCTCATGTCTTCCAGGTAGTCTAGTAATTGATGTGTATCTTGATTGGAATGAGGTGGTTGTTGTAGCAGATGGAAATAGAGCACTTGATGTGCTGGCCAATGTGTGACATTGGACAAGCCACTACCATGCTTAAGTGTCATGTTGCATTTTCACAAAGGGGTCAATGACAGTGCCTACCTCATAAGAATATGCTTTCCATAAAATAAGACAGTGCACAAAAGCTTGGTTTAAATATGCAGTGTACTGCCCCTATGCAGTGAGTGTCCTTTCAGGATTTCTGTTCCCTGCCCTGTATCAACCTATGTCACAAACAAGAGTGCTGGACAAGATGGTCTCCACAGACCCTTCCACCTGGGCCATTCTGTAATCTCGGACAGAGCAGAAGGCAACAGGGGTTCCAGGCAGACGCTTTGAGGAACAGGAGTGACTGGCTTTCTGGGGAAGCTCTGGGACATTCTTTACAATGGATGATCTGTCACAGCTGAAACAGCAAGCTGGAATCAAAAGTGCTTTCCCATCACCAAGAGAAACCACGGAAATTAGCAGATGTCAGGATTGTGTTTAAGCTTCCGTGAGTTTTCAGGGTAGCTCAAACTGCTTCCCATGAAAAAAAAATATTCCCAGTATTCAGAAAACTGTGCTACACAAAGACTTTATTGCTTTTATGTCTTTCCCAGTTGATCCCAAGCTGGTATATTCATGGAAGAGCACTCAGCAGGCATTGGGAATCCTGGCTTCTAAGTCTAACTCATTTATTTACCAAAAATATATCTGGGCTACTCCTTCCCTGCTATTGTAGGGCACAGGAATGAATCAGACAGCTGAAGTCCCTTCAAAGAGTTACAATCTCACTGGAAGGACAACCAAGAAAATGGTTCAATCCAGGGAGAGAAGTGGTCTGTGACTGCTGGGCAGAAGGAATGGCAGAAGCTCTCCAGGAAGAGGTTCTTCAAGGTTAAGTTAACCAGAGAAAAGACCATGACATTCCAAGCGGATGGGACCTCATGAACTAATGCTCAAAAGCAAGGCAGAGCTACCTGATTCAGTGGAGCTGTAAGAAGTTCCATGCGGCTGGAGTTAAGAGTGTCTGTCATATGGGGTGGGCAGCAGGGATGCAGAGAGAGGCACGAGAGGGTGCAGAGAAACAGATGGACAGGAGAGTTGCAAGCAGCAGGGGCCAGGTCATGAAAGATCCTTGCAAGTCACCTTGAGGAGTCCGGACTTCATCTTGAGGACATTTGGGGAGGCATTGAAAAGGTTCAAAGATCAGGAAACTTGGCCAGATACCTTTAGCAGATGGTTAGACTAGATGACCTTCAAGGTCCCTGGATATTTAAAGCATCCCGATGTTACCCAGAGGAACAAATTCTTTAATAGTTTGAAAATAACTAGTTACACTTTTGGAGCCTTTATTCACAAAATGGTGTCAATCTAGCAAAGGTTTCATTGCTCATTTATAATGTGAATGAAACCATACTGGGCGTGGTGGGGATTCAGTTGTGGATAAAATTAAATCAAAATGCAAGGAACACATAACTATCCCACAGAATAAAATACACAGCACAAGATATAGCATTGCTTGCTGGTTGATTTTGGAGTCAGATGCTCTAGATCTGTGATCTTCTCTGTTCAAGTCTCAGTTTCTTTATCTATAAAATTGGGATAATAATAGTATCTCCTGTGTAAATCACTGAGATTATATTGAAGGAGACAGTCCAAGCAAAAGACTTAATCCAATGACTAGTACATAATAAGAAATTTCATTAGTTCCTAACATAATTTGTGTTTTTTTTTAATTTATTGTTTATTTATTTAATAAATTTTAATGTGTATATTTGAGCTTTACGACGTGATATTATGAGACACATATAGATAGTAAAATGGTTATTATAGTGAAGCAGATTTTAACATATCTATTAGCTCACATGGTTACTTTTTTGTTTGTGTGACAAGAGCAGTTAAAATATACTTATTCAACAAAAATTCCTGATACAGTGCAATTTTATTAGCATCATTTGTAGTAGCAGTCATAGTATCGGTACGTTTGTGAAGCTAAAACTGGCAGAAAAGAGTCTGGAGGGGGTGGCAAGGAGAGGCTGTTGCTATTATCACATTGATAGTTATAATAAAATCTCTGATATTTGGACACCTCAAATTCAGAATCATAGTAATTTTATTTCATATGAAATTCTTTTCTCCCTGGGACCAAAAACAGTTTGCTTCACAAATGAATAATGGCAAGTCTGGTAGTAGTAAAAGTGATGGGGAGTGCTGAGTTCTTACACATATATATATTTTAAGCATTTTAAGCAGCTTTTAAGGCATGCATGCTACATGCAACATGCTGACTATAAATGTGACCATATTGAATTGTTTGAGTATCTCCAAGTATCACTTAATTGATAGTACCTCGATAGTCATTTATTTTAAAGAATATATTTAAAAGCCATTTAAATGGCATTTCTTTGCAGCAAATTTTGTTTTTTTATTCACTTTGCATGTCCTTTTTTCTTTCTGGCTTTCCTCCAGCTAGTCTCAATGGGTATTATTTTACTGAATTTATAGCAGCCATCACTTACTTATTCAACAAATAGTTATCGAGTGCCTGCTCTGTGCCAGGAGATAGACTGGATGCAGAAGGTGCAGGAAAATGAGTGAAAACAAAAGGGTCTCTCTCAAAGCATACACCCTAGTCATAGGTTTGGCTTTGGAATAGAACATTGGTAATCTTTGGGAGTTGGTTCAAAGTCTCTAAGAGGTATAGATAGAAAAATAAGCATGATAAAATTGGACACTGACAGAATGATAAGTTAATCAAAGTTAAGACCATTATACAGCATCACAAAATTTGGGACAATAGTTTTTTTGCACATTATTTTTGTAGACGGAGCCTCTAAAATAATACAAATGACTCTTTGGACGCATAGAAATTTGAATGTTTCCCCCATTCATAGATGTTTTCACCCCTTATCAGTTCTATAAAATTCCTTCTCAATTTCTCAGTGATTTGACATGAATATTAAGAGAAAAAATTAAGCACTACTGGACCATTATAAAACATATATATGTAGAGAAAGAGAAATTTAAAGCTGTGAAATATTTAAATCCAGATCTATTCCTGTCTTGTTCAAACCCCTTAAGAGTTCCTATCTGCAGAGAAAAAGTTGAAAGCACATGTCTGGTTCATTTGTGTCATTCAACCAACAGTTATGGAATGCCTCCTGTGTGCCAGACATTCATCTTTTTTGTTTTTCTCTTTATTTGCTCCCCTTGAAGTGTATAATCCAGTCTGTGGTTTCTCTAAGTAAGCACTTGGTGTCGTTTCTCCAAACTGGTACCTGACCCACTCATCTAGAAAATCAAAGCAGCCTTCCCTATCAAACAGTAAGTTTCACTTTTCCACTGGCTGTTCACTGGCTGTATGAGCAAAAGATTCACGGAAGGAAGTGGCGGTAGCCTCTTTGTACAGATTTGTCACCCACCTACCTAGTAGACATCATCTGCCTTTATTAGGAAACACTTTTACTTGTAGAGTTGAAATATGGCTGTTAAGAATCTAAGAAAAATCCCCACTATATTATTTTTGAAAATCTCCTTCTAAATTTACATAATTGATTTAAGAAGCGTAATTGTAAGGAGAGCTCAAATTCTCTCTACCTTGCTGCTATAATCACTGGAAGCAGAGGTGATTTTTAACACACATATTCCTCTTGCCTGTAGGATTCCTCCATCGTTTCATCCATCCATCCATCCATCCCTCTATCCAACCGTCCAATATTATGCTCTAACCTAAGCCTTGTTTCAAATATTGGGACCAAGATAGAGTTTAAGGCAGAATTCTCACCCTCAAGGAACTCATGTTACAAGATGCATTAGGGGGCTGCAGAAACCTAGGTCAGCTAAAGAGCTTGGATATATAAACCTGAATGTTGGACAGTTGGCTTTTGTTTTTGAAGCAGCTGTCATGACCTCAGAGATAGACTCCTCTGTCTTGAGTCTAGAACGTTATATAGGTAGCCCTGGCCTGGCCTGAAATCTTGTCTTGGTTATTGCTGTAATCACTCTGAAACATAACACGAAGTAGATGTGTGAAAAGCATTTGTGGAGCTGAATTGGGTTGACATTTATTTGCTACCTGCCAACTATTTGTCAGTGAATTGAGATTCTCATAAATGACATCTTTTTAACCCTGAAATTCGGAACCAATTGAGAAATAAGACAAAGGTAGATGTGAAACATGCCAACTACCTATAACTCGGGTATAAACAGTTGTTGGAGTACATGGCTTATGTCTTCAGGCAAGTGACTTTCCTAATGTTAAGTACAGGAACAAGTTGACTCCCCAAATCCATCACCAGCACGGCTTGATCAGCCTGTAGGACAGGGTTTACCCCAGAAGAACTTGGGTGGAACACACGTTCCCTGAAGAGCCCATATCCACAAATGAGGCAAAGGAAGGGGATGCTTGCCCATGCCCAGTTTCTCCTTCTAAACTTTAAACTCTCTGATAGGATTCCATCACCCTTATCACCTCCCTACTTTCCCCAGGTGGAGTAAATAGGGGACAGAGAAAGGTGAGGCCTGTCACCTTATTGGGGATCGCTCCACAGGCAAGAAGCCTCAGGAGTCAAGGAAAACTTTCCATGGCAGCGCTAATGTCCCTGTTGATTTGGAGCACTCTCCTTCCCTCTTCCCTGCCTGGGTTCCTCGTGGTTGTCTTAACTTGCTGTTGGTTTCCCCTTCCAAGTAGCCTGAGTCATTTAATTCTAAATCAGAACGTACCTCTTGACTGATTTTTCTCGCCTGCACCTTGTATATGGGCTCATCCTTTTTCCTGGATCGTATCCACCAGATTTGGCTCCTAGCCTACCTGGTAAGCTCAATCTTCCAGCTGTTAGAGACTCAGTGTGATGAATGAACATATTAATTATTTGGCAACCATGCTAGGCACTGTTTTGGACATTCAAGACAAAGAGGTGATACAGATAGATATGGTCTCTTCCATCAGGGAACTTGTGGATAATCAGAGACTAGAGAGATATAGCAGACGATTACAACCCAACCTTCATAATTACTCAGGCAGAGAGAGCAGTGCTTCTGACATTCGCAAAATCCTCCCTGCGTTGGCTACAGATATTAAAACACGCATTTAGAATCCTTTCCATAGTGTGTAAATTACTGCTGAAATGGTTATTCATAATATTTTTATCTGCAATCTTGATTTTTTAAAAATTTTTCTCTGCTATTAACTTCTTTGGTAAAAGAAAGAAAAAAAGAAGAAGAAGAAGAAAACCCTTCCAAGGTTCTATGCTGTGAGGGGGAAAAAGAGTCAAAGATATTCACCAGCAGCTTGCAAAAACAGGAGGGAGTTCTGGGAGTAATAAAACATATGCCTTGACAACTGATATTATCCACTAGTGAGATATTGTTCATATCTCCACAGCCTGAAATTGCACGAATGATCACCCCGGTTATCAATTCATACATGCGCACGATGGCCTGGTGGCTCCAGGAATTACCTTCTTGAATTGCTGCAAATCCCTCACCTCCAACAAATTCATCATGCAAAGTCCTCACTATAATGAACCTCGAGTAAAGCTCGGCACTCAATTGTATTTAAACATGTTAAGTGAAGTGCGGGCAGTCTCAGAAACATAACCGTTTGGGAATGTTAGAAAAGAGACTCCACCTTTCCAATTTGTTTTCCAAAATCATCTCACCACATGGCTTCACTTCGGTCCCAGTAGTTTGAAAGGGAAATAGTTGTCCTCTCAACCGAAGGGCCCCTAGGGGAGGTTCTCACTTGGTGGGATCCAGTCTTCTTCAGCAGGTCTGCACCCTGGTGCCACCAATAGGGTGAGCCTTGCAGAGTTTCTGGCAGGATAAAAAGGCAGCCAGCATGGTACCTAGCAAGGAAGGAACAGAAAGAAGTGGAAGTTTTTGTTTTTGTCTTCTGAGAATCCCAACCGCTCTTTCAGCAACCTATCATAGAGAAGATGTGTGATGACAATTGGAGGCTCTGAGACACTGTACCTCAACACTCCCCAGATGTGGTGTAAAGGTCTAAATTCGAGAACTGCTGCAATGTGGAAAATAGCACAGCAGAGAAGTGTAGGTTGTTAATGACATTCACAAGAGTACACCTAGCCGACTCAGTCTGTGGCAATCAGGGAAATCACCCTGGAAGAAGTGGTTCCTAAGCTGGGAGCTCACGATGAAAAAGAATAATCCAAAAAAATAAAGAAATGAAGACCAATCAGAAAGAACACCCAGCAGAGGAAAACCCAGAGGCACTATGGGGAGATTTTTCAAAGCATACTTCTCTCAGTAACTGAAGAGCTCCATTAAATACAGACCTACACAGTATTTTTTCCATTTATAATGCTCCCAATTTAAGAGAAGAAAAGATTTTCCCATGGATCTTGGCATCCCAATAAACTGCATAGATTAGTTTCACTTCCTCTTCCTGTGCCTGCCTACTTCTTTCCAATTATGACAATGCCACAGAAACCTGAATTGGTGTTTGGACGTATTTCAGAATCTAGAACTCAGATCCAGAACCTTCCATGTGTAATGCTTAGAAACATTGAATCCCTGGACTCACGCCATGAGATGGCTCCTTAGTGGCTATCCCCAATGGAATGGATGATTTCACATTTCCTATACAGAATCATGTCCTGAGAGAGTGAAACTTCAACCACCTACGCACTGATGGTTCATTTCTCCACTGAGTGTTACCCACTTCTTAATTTTATGTTTGTTCAGGATCTGGCATACTGAGGTCAATTAAAGTCAGGAGAAGATGTCGACTTGATTTAGTAAAATTGGATTCTTTGTCTGCCTTGAGTTTATCTCCTTGGGCTGGGCTGTCATTTGAATTTTATGTTTTTGCCCTTATTTCTTCCCACCATTGGTTTTTTTCTTTTTTTCAACCCTGGGAGGGATTTCAGTGTTCCACTCACCCTATCTGTTTGCAAGAAAGGTGTTTGTTTCTATAAAGTGCCTGTCCCATCTGATTTCCATCATCTTTATGGTCTTGCATTCTGTCACTGCGGCTCATGTCTGGCTGTGGTTTGTTATGTTTTGACAGGAGTTTGTTATAAAGCTGGGGATCACGTCCGGCTTTGCCTTTCCAACTTTCTTCTTTACGGTAGCCATAAACCCATGCTGCTAAAACGTTTCCTCTAAGGAGAGGGTGAAATTCTGATAACAAAAGCCTTGGGGGGAAAGCGAAGGGGAAGAAGGGAGAGATGGAGAGAGGAAGGGAGGGAGAATTATGAAGAGATGCTATTAAAATAGCAAGGTACTGACCAGCAGGCATTCAAATGCAAACTAGAAAGAGAATACCCAGAGTTTCTAAAGATTTGAGAAAATCATAATGGACAGACAGAAGAAATAGACCTAGATTACCGTGCCCTTTATAATCTTTGGATTCTTGGACAAGTTGGGAACTGCAGACGAGGGAATAAAGTCAGTCCTGGTTTTGCTAAAGAGAGAATGCGTGCTGTGGCACATGCATTGCTTTCTTGGAAGCCTGCAAAGCAGACACCTTGCACGTTCATTTATGAAAACACTTCGAATTATCTTGTTTTCCTGTGTAGAACGTGGAATGTGGACAGGGTTTGTATGGTTCTTGATGTGACGTATTTCAACCTGCACCCCTTGCTCAGTGAGCAGGCACTGAGCTCGTGGCTGTGTGCAAGGCTCTGAGTGTGCACGCCTAGCTGGTGCTGTCTTTCGTCTGTTGTGTCCCGGGAGCCTGGCTGGATACTCCATGTCCTTTGTCTCTTTCAATTACTCCTCAGGGTCACCTGGAAAGAAAGTGATCTCCCCATGTAACTAGCCAAAGATTGATATGGTCTGGCTCCATCTCCCCTCTCTCCTTACACTAACTATCCCTTTGCCCTCACTGCCCACCCAGACATTCAGTTGGTTATTTTCCCAGCACCTTTGCTTGAGAATGCATCTACCCTTCTTTCCTTCCTTCCATTTCCCCTCCATCCCTCCCTTTCTCTCTTTCTAGCATTTATTCACCATGTACTGCACACACACTGGGTACCCGGTATTTTCCATGTTATCTAATCCTTGTGGCAAGCTAATAATAATTAGGATAAATAATAAAATAACTAACAATTATAACAATTATCAATGTCTTAATATGTGCCAATGCAAAGTTCACCAATGAATACTTACTCATGAAATACCTACTCTGTGACTCATGTTGTTCTTAGTTCTGAGACTACAGCCAGGAGCAGAAACTCACTGCTCTTCCCTTTTCGGAGCTTGTATTCTTGTGGGGGAGTGGATAATACAGCAGCGAGTATAACATAAGTAGTGATGATGCTACAGAGAAAGTTAATTGGGGTAAGAGAGTATATTTAGCCTGGGGTGAGAGCATTTCATGGATGACTTCATGTCCTCAGGACAACATCCCTGTGAGGTGGATGCTGTTCTCATCTGCATTTCTCAAGAGAGACACCTGAGGCCAGAGAGACTAAGCAGTTTGCCCTAGGTCACACGGCTACCACGTGGCAGAGCTGGAATTCGAGTCCAGGCAGAGTGGCTCCAGATTCATGTTCTTGATCCTGCAGCCTCCTCCTGAGTGGCTCAGGCCTGGTGACACCTGGCAGGAGAAAGGACAGGAGGGTCACTGGACCTTCTCATGCCCCAGACTCGGGATCCCACAGATGCCTGGAGCCCCCCCCCCCCCAGCTACCCACCAGAGGTTGCTTTTCCTCCTGGAGGCGATGGAGTGCACAGAGTCCAGAAGTGTCATTTCATCTCAAGGAATGGAGCCACAGTCCCCTCAATGAAAGGCGATGGGGCAGCTTAAAGGACAGGGTGCTCGGACAGTGGTGGGGAGCCAGGTGGGCTGGTTACGATGTTTAACCCATGAGGGACACTGGTGGATATGTGCAAGCACTGGCACCTAGGTGCAAGGATCAGGCCAACCAGGTCCCTTCCAGAACCCGTGGAATACCCCAAGGCTGCTTTCTTTTGCTGAAAACCTGCACACGGAATGTCAGGCCCGATAGCTGGCACCAGGCAGTGCTTCAGACTTGGGTGGGTGCAGTTGGGCTGTTCCGTCCCACTGCCAGAGAGCCTATGCAACATTAATTCTCTGTCAGAATGGTTGTTCCTTTTCTTGTAGACACAATCCAAGGGTCAGAAGCACAGCCCCCAGTGGACTCCTGTGGAATGTGAATCTGACCCTCTTTCACTGCTTCTCATTTCCAAGGACTTTTACTTCTCTGTAAAATGCCCCTGGAATGCTGACTTGGCATGCAAATTAAGTCTTTTTTTTTTTTTTCTAAGAAATGTGCTTTTGTGTATGGAGTTTGGATGTTTGTAAATTGTGTGCATAAATATAGTAAGGTAGAAGCCCTATGAAAACTAAGTTGTCTCAGTTGGGAGGCAGGTTTTACTTGCAAACCTCAAAATTAACTTTAAGAAATGGATCTTTTAAAATGATTAGTCCCTAAACCATAATTATTTGGACTAGAACATTGAGATGGGAAAATGCCAGATATGGGGCCCTAAAAACCTTTTTCTTCTCTTTTTATGGTCTTGGTTCTCTTGGCCTTGAACTGAAAGTGACCTCACCTCTGCATTAGAAACCTGTGTGTATGCGTAACAGGTTTGAGATTGGCAGACTGTCCAAATAGACTTGCCAAATTTACTTCCATCCAATTGCCAAACATCTCGTAAGCAGCTATTTACATCACAAATGTGCTATGATACTGAAATGATCAAGAAATGTCCCCTGCCTTCAGGGAACTACAGTCACTAAAGGAAAGGCAATAAAATTGAGAATTACCATACAGCGGGATAAGTCCCAAAGTCTGTGCATACCAAGGTATTATGGGAGTGCTAAGAAGAGCTAGCCTGCATTTAACAGTGTCAGGCTCTGCGCCAAGCGTTTTGCATGTGTGGTGTTGTTAATATTTGTAACTGCCCACCGAATTAGCTATTGTGGTATTGCCATTTTGCAGCTGAAGAAACTAGGGTTTAGAGAGCATAAATCATTTGTTCCAAGTCACAGCATGAGTAACTAGCACAGCCAGTATATGAATTAAAAACTTTCAGTGCAATACCCAACTTTACAATCGCTTTAAGAATACAAGGGAGACAGTAGAAAACTCAAAGGAAAAGGAGGGTGATGCTCCATTAGAAGACTTGGTGTTGGAGCTGAGACTTGAGAACGCCTAAGAGTAGATAAAACAGAAGAGATGAAGTTAGGACTCCCTGGGCAAGAGCAAAGGTTTTGACAAATGCACGTGCATAACCACACTTAAGAAGAGGATGAGATTGAAATGAGGGAAGGATGTGTGTGCAGGTCGAGGGGGGGAGCCAATCTATTCTATTAATTCTACAAACCTTTCTTTTGACTTCAAAATCCATTTACAAGGGTCATGTTCCATCAGCTTGTGTTTTAGTGTCCACTTAACACCTTAGAGTGAACGTCTTATGTAATATGCAGCCCTGGAGGAGGGCCCAGGTTTACCCAAGTCTGCCTTCTCTCTACAGAAAGGAAAACATCTCTTTCGCCACTTTTGGAATTGCTGAAGGTTGCTGATTCCTGGTTTAGATTAAGTTTAAAATCACACACACATGTCTGTGTCTCTGGCAGCATTTCTCTAATCCAGATGAACTGCATTAATATTAAAACACAAAGTTAAATGACTTGTGGTGTTTCCATTGGTTTGAGTTGGAGAAGTCTTGATAAACCATATTGAAATAATTTTATAAGAATGCTTGGAGTTTGGCACTTTGAAAAGTAAAGGAGTGGAATTTGTTTTCACTTCTCTAGTCTAAAGCAAATTTTCCCTTCAGCAAAGTGAATGGCTTTTAGGTAGAAAACTGCAAATCATCCAAAACGGTCAAATGCAGATGATTCACTCAGAGAAATAATCACATGAGCTAGATGTCTATAATTAATTAATTAATCTTATTATTATATGAAGATAAACCTTTGAGAATTTGAGGGCTATCATTTTGTGAAGGACATGATTTATGATCTAAATGGAAAAAAATTAAAAATTTGACAATATTAAGTGTTGGTGAAGGCTGTGGGTAAAACAGGTATTATCAGGGCTGGTGGGGTAGTAAATTGGTAACAGCATTTTGAAGGTCTATTTTTGGCACCTAGTAAAATAAAATATATATTTCTGCTTCTCAGTATAGACCTTGTTGGAAAAGAATTAAAAAACAGTCTCTCACATCTCTCAACATTGGAATATCTAGATAACATGTGAA